AAAATAAAAAATAATTTATATATATATATATATATATACACATAGTAAATTTTTAATTTTTTTTTTTTCAAACAAAAAATAATACTAATTTTTTTTTTGCTAAAATAATAATAATAATATAAGAAATTTATAATTTTATTTATTATTATTAAATGAAAAAAATAAAAAATATATATATATAATAATTTATTTAATTTAAAAGAAATAAAAACTATTTAGAAAATATATTTTATGTTTCTTTACTTAATGTTAAAGAATTATATTTATATATAAATTAATAATAGTATAATAATAAATTTATGAGATTTTATATTTCAATAAAATTTATATAAAAAATAAAAAAAATTAATAAATAATGTATTTATTAAATATTATTTAAATATTAATGATAATATATATTAATATAAATTATATTTTATATAAAAAATAAACTTTAAATAATAAAAAAAAAATATTAAAGTTATAAATAATAAATGAAATATCAAGTAAACTTATAAAATTATAATAAATATTGAAATTAAAAGAATAATTTAATGATTAAATATAATAATTATTATAATTAATAATAAATTTTGATGTTATATATACTTTACTAGATTTTATTATTTTTCGAAATTCCTGTATTTTAATAAAAAATACAGTCAAAAAATCATATTTATTAATGAAGAATATTAAAAAAGACTATTTGGAAGAATTATGATAATCTCAAAAAATAGATGAGAAGAGTTATTTTCCTTAATAATAAGGAAATTAATAATTTAAGAAAAAGAAATAAATTGATTAAATAATTTATGAATAAATTACATATTAATTAAATATTTAATTAAAAGATAACTAAAATATTTATATATAAAATTTAAAGGAAGATTTATTTTAAAAAATATTTTAAAATAAATATAAAAAAAAGGAAAATATTTTATATAAACAAATTTAATTTAAATGTCACTATGTTTGGACATAAAAATAATAAAATAATTCTTTTTTATAAAAAAAAAAAAATATTTATTTAATATATTGAAAATAAATAAATGAAAAACTCCATTTTTGTTTAAAAAAATAAACTCATTTTAATTACATAATTTTTTATTATTTTAAAAAAAATCAAGATTATTTTATATTTAATTAATTATATACCCTTCTGTTATAAAAAGTAAATATTTAGTAGTTATTTTATGATTAAAGTGCTATTTTCGTGACTTTTTTTTCATTTATAATTTCAAATTATGCAGTTTTATTAGTTTTAAAGGATTTACTTTCTAATGTATTTTTAGAAGAAGAATTTTGTAAATTTAATAAAATTAAATATTATTGAAGAATTAATTATAATTTTAAACTAAAACTTAGATTTTAATGATTATATTAGTTTAAAATAAAATGGATTTTTATTTAAAAAGTGATAAATTATTTTCTTTTAATTTTGTTTTTTTAGAAAAACATATATATATTTTTCATATTATAAATATTAAAAAAAAAAAATGTAAATTAATTGTTTTTATGTACCATATTAAAATTAATTATGAAAATTAAAGTCTTTCAATATTTAAAATTATAAAAAATAACCAAAATAATTCATTTAAATTCAAACGAAAAGTTAAAATATTTATTAAATTATTAGATAAATAATTATTTCAGTATAAAGTATTCAAATATATATTGGATTTATAAAAAAAGAATAAAAATGGATAAAATGGCATTATATTATGAAAAAAATTAATTAAAAAATAAAAAAGACAATAGTAAATATAACTTTGAAATAATAATGATGTATATAGATTATTATTACTTATATATAATTTACAAAAAAATAAATATTTTAATTTGTATTTGGTAGAATTGATTGTGATAAAAATAATAATATTTTAAAAAGGTAAGAAATATATTTTATATAAATTAAATAAAAAGAATAAAACTTAGTAAATATAAAAAACAATAAAATAAATATTTTTAAATTTAAAAATATAAATATATATATATGTTTCCTATTATAAGGAGTGTTTCTTTTAGATAATAAAAAATTAATAAGTTAAAAATCTTGGAAAAATATTTAGTTAGAAAAACATATTATAAATTTCGACAGATATAATATATAAAATATATATATAATTGTATTTAAATAATAAATATTATATATTTAAATATTTTATATCATTTATTATTATTTATATTAATATAGATATATTTTTTATTTATATTTTTTTTTAAATAATTAAATATAATCTAATTTTTTATATTTTATTTGAAATAATTTTTTTATTAAATTGATTAATAATTTTGGATATTTTAACAATATATTTTTTTTATGATTATGAATGATATTTTATAAAATAATTATAATTTATTCCAATTTAATTTTTTTCTTTGTTTGTTTATTTATATTATATATTTTATATTTTTATTTTTTTAAACTATTCATTTTTTTTATTTATATCTTTCTCTTATAAATATTTTCAAGTTTTTAATTTTATTTTCATTTTATTTTAAATAAAATTTTTTTTACTGATTTTAATTTATAAATATATATATTTTTTTTTTTATATAATTAATTTAATTTTTGTTTATATCTTATTTTTAAAAATCTATTTTTTTTGTTGTATAAATTTTTATTTAATTTATTTTTTATTTTAATTTTCATTTTACTTTTAATTTTCATTTTTTTGTTTATAATTTATTTATTTATATTCGATTTATTTCATTTTATATTTATATTCAATTTCATTTTTATTTTAATCTAAATACACAAATTTTGATTTTGATTTTTATTATAAACATTTTTAATTAAAATACCTGCTTTATATTATAAAAACATATAATTTAAAACATTATATCAAATTATTAAAAAATTAGATAAAATAAATAATAAAAGAATTTTATTTTCATTTTTTATTATTTTTATTAGAAATTTTTATTTATAATATATAATATAAATTTAATTTAGATATTATATATATTTTAAAAAATTAATATATATATTATTTTAATAATATTTATTATTTTTACATAAAAAATATAATTGATAAATAAATATTCATTTAATTCCACATAAATTATTAATTTAATAAAAATCTATTTTTAAATTATATTCAAATAAATATTCTATAAATATCATTATTTAGTAAATATTTATTTAAATTATAATAATAAATATAAAGGTATAAAATGTTAAATACTAACGAAAATATAAAATGCTCAAATGCCTCAAAAGGAAATTTAAACTTACTAAATGAAATGTTAGATTATAGACAGCGCTCTTAATAAAATTAAAATAAAGAGTCTATAAATATTCCATATCTAATAATAAACAACAAAAACTAACTAATAATACTCCCAAATGATGTAGAAGGATAGTAGATTATAGAAAATATATTTGCCCTTAAATTAAAAATAGAGAAAATTATATTAACATTATTAATTACAATATGTAGTTTCGGTATATATGCTTTTTTATTGAGAAATAGTGTTAGACTAAGATTAAAATCTCTATATAGTAAATGTAATAAATTGTCAGATTGTACTCATTTTTTGGTTTAAAATAAAGATCAAACATATGATATACTTAAGAAAAAGAAATATAAAAACAATAATTTTGGATTTGTAAACAGACATTTAAACTATGAATATGATGCTAAAAATTAAGGATTTGTTCCAGTTTATTATAGGGATGTGGAAAATTAGACTTTAGAATAATTATATTAAAAGCATAAAAATGGATTGGAAAATAATAAGGAAAATATTTTAAATATGTAGGAAAAATATGGATTGTGTAAAATATATATTTGTATTCCAACGCTTATAGAATATTTAATGTAAGTTTTGACAGAAATATTCTTCCTTCTTTAATATATTTCAATTGCTATTTGGATTGCGCAAGGCTTTATGATGTTCGCGGCAGTGATGATTTTAACTTCTTTGATTAGTACGTTAATTAATTATATACTCTTAAGGTTTTCATTGAATAAATTGAGGAAATTTGCAAATATTTAGATTAAAATAGATGTTTATAGGGATGGTAAGTTAATTGTTTTGGACTCTTAGGATTTATTGCCTGGAGATTTATTTGTTTGTTAAAATAAAATGGTGATTCCATGCGATTCATTATTAATTTAAGGCGATGTTTTAGTAAACGAAAGCGCATTGACAGGCGAAGCGATTCCCATACCAAAATTAAGCATAAAATAAGCTGATAATTAACAAGAATTATTCAATTTTAAAAACATGAAAAGACATATACTATTTGAAGGACTAAAATCATTCAAAATATGATGAAATAGAAACT